GCCGCCTAGCATTGTTTTTCTCAGATCCACACTGGTGAGAGTTGTTTCATTTATGACTCTCTGTCCTGTGGCCATTTACAAAATCACCCTTTGCTTCCCAATGACCTGCAGTGCCCATTCAGGAGCGGGGGCTTCCCTGTCACACCTGTGTCCTTTCCGTGCGAAGGGGCTGGGTATTCCCGGCGGTCTGGGAAAATGCTGCACTATCTTGCTCAGCGGCAGAAAGAAACTTAATCGTTGGAGGGAATCTCTCTTTGTGCATTGATGGCTTGTGGTAATCAAACTTCAGAGAGAAGTTTCTGACTCAAGACCTACTTAAAATTCTAGGTGAATGAGTCATGCCAAGCTTGCGTGCTATTGCCGTGAGTGCCAGACTTTAGAACATCAGGGAGTCACAGGCAAGGTGCGGCCCATGCCCAGCACTTCTCCACAGAACACAGCCTGCCGTCAGACTCACAGATTCCAGCCTTGAGAAACGTAATTAGTAGACCTACAGTAAACATACTTTATCGCTGAAGCGTGTTTTGGTCTGTATCTTGCAAACGCTGAGACATTTTCATTATAAAATTCATACATTATTAAAAGAGTTTGTTTTCTTTTAAAAATTGCTTGGCAGGATAATGCTGGAATCAAACCAATTCAACTTTCTGGACTTTAAAGAGGCACAGATCCAGAGTGAGATTCAGAAAAAACAAACAACAGTCCTCAGCTATTTTAATTAACAACCACAATGACAACAAATCAGCTGTTTCAAGAACAACTTTACAAATACCCTTATGGTAGGGATTTCTGCTAAAGGAAATACCAAGGTAATGCCAACCAAATGAAAAGGGAAAAGAATCTAATTTTTGCTCAATGCCACGCTCCCCACAGAAAGCACTTTTACATGTGCTGTGCCCATTAGAACTTACTGCTGCCTCTAACACATAAATAAAACTCCCACTTTAGGGATGAGAAACTGAAATTTAAAATTGCAATAGACTCGTTAGGGGGATGGAGCTTGGTAAGTGGTGGGGCCAAACTTCGAACCTGCAGAAATTGCTCAACATCTTTTCTCATCTATTTGCCAAGGTGGCTTCTCAAAACTCTTGAACATGTTTTTGTTTGTTTGTTTTTGGTTTTTCTTCCCGTACCAGGAATCGAACTCATGACCTTGCGCTTGCCAGGTGGGCGCTGTGCCACTGAGCTAAACCCCCAGACCCTTGAACATGTTTTAAAACAGAACCAAAGAGCCACATAGCTCCAGGTGAAGTCACAACTGGAAGTTCCTGCTTTGGAGCAGACCCAGTACGACTGACCAAACGACTGCTCAGTGTCTGATTTCCGCATAATCCTCGCTTGGAGCTCCGGCAGTCTATCATCGGATGCTCTCTAAGCTGAGTAGACAGGAGTCGCTTCTGTGTTCCAAACCCCATCACCTCCCTCAAATCCCTAAGACAAGATGTGCACTGGGATACAGCATCTCTGGATTTGAGGACGATGATGTATTACGTTAGCAGTTACTGCAGAAACGTCCTGCATGAACGAGAGGGTGCCTCATAACCTTATAATTCCATTGATATTTCTGCTACACAGAGAACGCATATTCACACTAAGTGAGGAAAAACTAGATAAAAACCATGTCTGTATGTTCAGTTCAGATAAAATTTTGTGCTGAATAAGTTTAGAAAATGGTTTTCCATTTTGGAGACTTGGAAGTTCCGAACAACGAGCTGAGTGCTGTTTTGGTGCACCTGGGTGCTTCTGGGGACCCGCAATGGCTGTTTGGAAGGAGTGAGAGAGAAAGCAGAGTTTAACTTCCAGGGGATGCTGTGCTGTTCTCAGAATTGTTTTCACATATTGTCTTATTCTCAGAGCAATGATATGGGCATCTTTTATTCTATTTTATTAAAGAAGCTGCTCTAGTTCAGAGTACTTGAGAAACTTGCAGAGGGTCACACAGCCAGGAAATAGTAGGACTCAAAGCACTTGCATTTTCTGACCTCTGTGGGGGATTGGGTACTGTGCCCCATTTCCAATTTAACCCCTTTCTGTTGTGGATTCTGTGCTATCCACCTCACCAAACTTGGTTTCTTTGCTTGTAATGTGGGGACAGCTTCCTTTTCGGCCTCGTTTAAAGGACTGTAGTGAGAAACATATTGTGCTTTGTAAATAAAAGATATTATTACAGTTTTACATCTGCATCACTTGGCTCAAAGCTTGCATGAGCCTTGTCAGGGCAGAAAGTATTGTCTATTCCCTAGTGAGCTCATCAGAGCTCCTTGTCAGATGACCAGAAGGGAACCTGTCTTCTCGCACTAGACATATGTACACAGCACAGCTGCGAAGCCCTCATATTTTAAAACCTTCCAGCTGATCTGTGAGCACATTCCATTCTCATGATGAGAAAAGTTTAAAGGACATTTCCTTCAAGTATGTTGGCAAAAATGCAATGTCTTTTACAGTCTTTAGACCGTAGGATGTGTAACTCAGGCAATAAAAAATCCACCCCATGCTTTATAGCACATTTACATGTTATTCAGAAATAGAAATTATCTTTCTTTTTATTACAGCCTTTTTAGCCTCTCACTAAAACACAGAGATGCAAAAATCTGCTTCATTAGAAAAGTCTTGAAGTGCACTTACAAAAATGTTCTAAAGAATATTATGCTGGAGATTCCGTTGAAAGGCACATCAAGCTGGTCCCCATACACATATTTTGTAGGTCACCCCCTGCATCCTAACATTACTTTAGGCAGCTTCCCCACTGTTGGGATACAGTGCCCGACGTGCACAGCTTACAGGAGGAGAAGTGGAACTCAGCTGTGGTCTCAGGGGAATCCGGAGTCGGCAGTCCCCAGGCGGGAGCATCCCAGTGGCAGCACGCGGCAGAGAAAAGGTGCTTTCTTCATGGCGTCCACGAAACAGAGCAGGGAACGCGGCTGGGGAGGAAGCGGCAGGCACCACTCACAAACCCCCGAGATCCGCTTCCACGGCCCACTCAGACACACTCAGACACACTCAGACACACTCAGAAATGTGACGCACTGATCCCCAGGCAGATCCCAAAGCCAATCAAGTTAACACTCTATCCTGACGTCCACAAACGTAAAGAGCAAATAGGTTATTGCCCTGTTTTCTCAACACTGCACGACAAAGGAGAGATGTCATAGCACATTTGTCATTTTCTTCCCTTTGATATTATGTGCATATCTATCCATCTATATATCTTTGCATGTGTATGCATCAATTATACATATATATATACACATATATATATATACACACATATACATACTATGAATGGTCATTTATTCCACAAATACATCCTGGTCACCTTATGTAAATTAGCTCTTAAATGAAGCACTGGAGAGAAAACAAAACAATCAAATTCAGCCTTGTTCTTAATCCCTAGCAGAAGGACCTTCATGGAGCTGAATATTTGATCAGTGTAATATAAGAAATGATGAGTTTTCTTGCAAGTCCATGGAAACTGCCCAGGAGAGGATATACATCTTCTCAATTAGCTACCAGCCCAACACTGAGGAAGATAGCAGTGCTACCTTGCTTACTTTTAACACAGAATACTGTTGTGTATACATAAATATACCTGGTACTGTATTGATTAATAATATTTAGTTTTGAAAATCTGAAAAGCATTATTCTGCACAAGTGAGAAAACTGAATTTGGAGATCATCAAGTCAGTGTGATTTCTGCATAAAAGCCATTCAAATAAATGCTTTTTGTCCAGCTTGTGAAGATATTAAAGTGTCTTTCCATGTGTTATTAAGTTCCACATGTGCACGATAAAAAGAAAGAAAATAAATGAATTAAATATGTATATAGTTTTGCAGTGATTTGTTCATTTCTTTGCTATCACCCTCACTTTTTCTGCTGATCTTTGTCATTAACATTGACTATACTGTGTCATAACGCTGTTGCTTTTTGGAAATTCTTCTAGGAGATAAGATGAAAACAGAGGCTGACACTTTTTAAAAGTGCGATTGGTTGTTTTCTCATCTTTACTTATGCAAACTGAATTTGCTCGGTATTTTGGTCTTGCATAGATTCACACTTGCTAAAGTATGAAGTTTTAACTGACAATAGTTGAAGTAAGATTTACTTTTTTACACTTTGGAGCATAGCAAGGAGCCATAAATGAACAAGAAACCTTTAAAAGTTGAGTGAACACAAGGTAGCAGGTAAATAGAAAAGTCATGACATTAAAGTAGACTACAGAGCTTGAAAAATTCAACCGGTCTTCACTGTGAGTGGAGAATGCTTCATCAGTACAGAATAACTTTCCGGAATACTCACCTTAGGTTTAGGTTTAGTTTAGGTCTCAATTTCCTTATGGGATTGCTATATATGCACACACAGCTCTTTGCTCCATTCTTTATCTGGAAATTTAAGATTTTAAACCACCAATATCCTGCCACTTTAGAAGTACCTCTGCAAATGTCCTTTGAGGTAACTTTGAGTTTTGTACAACATTATCGTGTGCTGTCATTTGTAATGTGTTTCATGAAAATCCTTATGATAAAAATTTTAGTTCCAAAATTAAATGTGATTAGGGCTTGCTGGTGGGGTTCAGCAATTTGGCTAAGGGAAGCTGGCTCTGATGGCAAGGAGAAAGGAGGCTGGGAGCATACCCTGCGTAGGCTGAAAGGGGAAATTCTTCTCTGAAGTATGAAGTCAGCGGCCTAGGCCTTTGTTCACCTTATTTGTTGGTAGGGCCTTGCTTAGCTACAGAAACAGGGTTGTCACCGTGAATTTCTGTCCATGAGGCATTCCAAAGATACTGCTGTACAGAAATAACAACCAGCGTTGGTATATTCAGGTGTGTGAGCTGTACAGCTGACACTTTAGCCCTCTGGCCATTTTTCAAGACATTACCTAATGCATTACCTCATAATGATGACTAGAGGGAAACGTTTTCAAAAGTACAGTCATAAAGGGCCTCGATGAAGTCCACCCCAGGTCTTGTAGGAAAACTCCTTAAACCGGTTACTGTCTCTGCACACTCTGTAACACCATTTTTACCTCTCACGATTGCTGGTTTCACACTGGGACGGAAGGCATGGCAGGTGGACCATAGGACACAAATTGCACCCAGTTCTGGCCCAGGGGAGAAGAGCCTATGAACAGCGGTGACGCAGAAATGCCCCCTTCTCTCTCTCTCTCTCTCTCTCTCTCTCTTTCTCTCTCTCTCTCTCTCTCTCTCTCTCTCTGTCTCTCTCTCTCCATCTTTACACAAGGGGGACATTATCAGCCAATAAGCCTTACTCTTCCCATTCTGCCTCTCAGAGTTTTCGCTCCCTAAGAAGCTGCCGGGTTGGAACGCAGAGGCACAGAATGTAGATGGCGGCCCCTACCAAGCCAGCACTAGGGATCTCAGCAGGCTGCGCTGTGACACTTGTGCCCGAGGCAGACACAGATGACTGAGGAGCGCCTGAGCAACAGCCATTGGCAAGGGCGGATGTGAAGTTCGTTTCCCATCTGCACTAGAGAGGGCAGCCCTGTCTCTCCCACACCCAGTGCACGCAGAAGCAGCACCTCAATTTTCTCCTTCTTATGGCCCCCATTTTAGCTCTGTCCCTGGACATCATAACAATAATTCTGGAAAAAATCATCTGAGATGGTAATGTTTAAAATCTGCTTACACATTAGAGTAACTTGGAGAGATTTAAAAAGGATGCCAACATGGTCTTTCTGCCTGGCACTTGGTGTGTTTTAAAAAAGCTCACCAGTTAATTCTAAGGTACAACCATTGATCCAAGGAGGCAGAGCTTTTTTTGGTAGGTAATAGGTAGCCGGTAATACTTATGTGTAAAGGAAAGGGTGAGAAAGAAGAACCTGATGACATCTTGCGGAGTACCTTATAGAAGGGAGAGATCACGGGTAAAACCCACGGACCAGCAATCTCATCCGCACTCCAAGGCGTTGCAGGTACAATGACTGCACTGAAAATCTTTCTTTAACTCCTATTAAGTGTTTTGTTTAAATGTCCCTTTAAAATATCTTCTGTGGTAAGTGATGGAACATTCTCAGAAACACATTTACACTGGGGAGAGGCTGTGATGATCACTGGTTTGCAAATACAACCAAGATCAAATATGTTGCACGCCTATAAATTTTCAGTTTAACTGTTTCTCGAAGTACACAGTGATACTGTTACTCTTGAACCTATCCGCTCATGCGTGACTATTAATCATATGTCAATGTGAATGGATTAAGAGACACCTAACAGATTAGTAAAGTATATTTCTAGGTGTGTCTGCGGATGACTAACGTGTAGGCCGGCACACCGGGCAGGGAAGGCCCATCCCAGGTACGGACGGCAGCACCCAGCAGGGTTGTAGCCTGTGAGGAATAAAAAGAGAAAGACGTGTGCCACCCTGCAGAGCCCGTCACTCTGAGTCGCTGTGCCTCTTGCTGCTTTGCCTTTTGACACTGGCCTCTAGTTTTCTGGTTCCTGCAGCACAGACTCGCGCCTGTGACTCTCCAGCGGACTCCGGGCCGGTGATCATGGACGAGTTCTGCATCCTTGAGGCCTCTTGCTCTGTGCTTCCATCACCTCCTTGGGCTGGACGGCTGCTGAATTCGCTGCTGGGCTCTCCCGCCTCTGAGCCTATAACCCACCTAATAAATCCCCTCCCATAATTATGCAAGTATTTTCTATTGGTTGTGTTCTTTTCTATTGATATTTTCTTCTTAATTTCTGTTTTAAAGGTGAAATGATCAGGCTAATTGATATTTTTTCTCAAACTTCTCCTGCCAGCTAATCTGACTGGAGGTCAATGCAGCTTAAATCATCCAGATTGAAGATAGGGGGATATAGAAAATAACACCATGGGTTTATTCCACAGCAGTGGGCATGGAGGGTACAGGAACCATTGCTCTGAAAAGCTAATTGGACCAGAAAATTTAAAAACTTGGAGAAGTTAATTATGAAGCATACCCATGCTAATGATATCAAAGTATAATTACACATCTGCATCTTTCTCTTCTGCTGGAAGAAATGGAAGACATCAGAAAGATGTGGTTCTAGTTTGCATGATAAAGGCTGGAAAGATGTAAACTTTCATTTAATCTGTGGTTCATTCTTTAGAAAAAAAATTATTTAGGGGAAATTAAACTACTATGATACTAGAAATGGAAATTTTAAGTGTTATTTAGTGCGTTCACAGTATTACACGCCCATGACCTCTACCTAAATCTCAAGCATTTTTATCACCTCAAACATTCACTTATTTTTAAGTTATCGATTCACCAATCTTTGAAGAAATCCTGTTGCACCAATCACAATAAGCTACACAGAGGAATAAAGCATGGTTTATATTATTGAGAAAAAATATTAATTAGCCTGATCATTTTACCTTTAAAACAGAAATTAATATGTGGTAAAATCCATCTTAAAATGACAGGCACTAGGTAGAGCTGACTTCTGATTGCGGTTGCTGGCTGGTGGGATATTAAAAGCTTTCTGCAGCAGGCTGCATTGTTGATGGGCTTCCAGCGCCGGCTGGGAGAGCAGGCGAAGGCTGCACACGCTTGGCGGAAAGAACATCATGAGCAAAGCGGAGAAAGAAGAACCACTAGGAAAACGCGGGGAGCGCTGCACAGTTACCCCAAGACAGGCTGGGCAGAGATGTGAAAGTTCAGGGTGGAAAAGCAGATCGAACCAACGTCATGGAGACACTTGCATGACTCACCAAAACTTTAGTTTCTATTTGGTAAGCAATAAGCTCCTACTGAATATTTTAAAGCAATACAGAATACAGACAACGCAGTATTTTGAAAGAGAACTATGATGACTGGGTATAGGCTGGATTAGAGGGAAGGAAATTTTCCATTTAAGAAATTCTAGTGTTGCAGAGGGAACTGGGATGCCAGGGTGTAAACTGGAGAAAAATCTCAGGAGAGGCTCCCACACTCCTGAAAGCAAGCCGGTGGGACCTAAAGGAAGAGGGTTTAATGTGCCGCCAACACCTCATTCTGCTTCTAACTTGTTGCTTCCTGTTCAAGACGCTGTCTAAGTAACAGTCCAGTCTTACTGGTAATTTACAGAGCCAGTGTTTTAGTTAGTAATCATCTTCAATGATAGTTCCTCAAGAGACTCTCATCCACAGAGTTACGGGACTCCTGTGACCAGGGATGTGTCGTACTGTTAGTGGCAATGGTGACTGTGAAAACCCAGCAATGAACCAAAGCCAGTTTTCCTCTTCGGCAGTAGCTTATATTCAAATTCACAAATAAATTTGTGTCCTCTTGAACACAATATACATAGTTCGTTCCACCTCTCCTTCATTTGCCTACTGTTCCCTTAGGATCTAGCTCCTAACGGCTGTCAATGCCGAGTCTGTTGTCCTGCTTCCCTACCCCGCAGATGACAGGGACAGGACATGTGGACCACTGCTCCTGGTTTCCAAGTCTGCATGGTCACAGCGCATCTTCCCACGCATCCTGGTCAAGCTTACAGTCCTTCTCAGCACAGAACTATAGGCAGCCTGCACATATATGATGTCTGAAAACACAATACAGTGTATGTTTAAATAAAAACATTTAATACCAAAAGACACATTGACATTAACCCCTCTCAACATACTCTCCCTCAGTGTGAGCACACTTATTCCATCATCACTGCCGCTTTCTGGAGCAGTTTGGGAAATGCATTTTCGTGGGTGTCTCTAGTTGTGCTGTCATGGCTCCCTGGATGTCGTGAATCCCCTGAAAACATTTCACATCTCGTGGTCATTCTGACTCTGGGAAGAGCCTAAAGTTGCATGGTGCCAGATCTAGTAAAAAGGGATGGAAGACTTGCTGCGATATTTTTGTTTTTCTGTCATGCCACTGAGCACAGCATTCACTGTATTTTTGATCCTACCTCAGACAATCACAAGAGAGGATTTCACAGTGGCAAGCATAATAGGACAGGTGTATCTGAAGCGACAGGGGACAGTTTGGGGAGATCAGTGGCAGTGTGTCTTTTACTGTAATAAAGGTTTTAATTTAAATGTGCACTGTATATTTTATTGCCCCTTGTATTTCACAGGGGCAGCCTCCGAATTATTGCTTATTGTGGCTTGTTCACTCCCCAGCCTTGAAGCAAGTGGTCTCTTCTTTCTCTCATTGTTAAAAGCTTGTTTCAGAGCAATATCATTCCTTTACAATTTATCCCATCATTCAATTTCAAATTTCTCCTTTGTGCAATCTTCTTACAAACTAGGAGACTTGCAATGCAGAAGAGAGCTGTATGTACTCCTCTCTCTTGCTAGTGTCTCCACGTCCCCAAAGGTTACCTCACACCCTTCACGATCAGTTTAAATGTGTGGGATCTAACAGTGTCTGATGTGATTGGAAAGGCTGTATCCTGTCATTGCAGACCCCGCATTCAGTCATACCCAATGACGAATCTCACCTGAGTAGTTTTCCCCTGCCGGCAGCCTTCAGATGCTGAAACATCCCTCTTTTTTGGGTCTCCTTATCCACGCAAAGAGCCTCTCAAAGACTCCTTCCAGGGGTTGGTTTAAAGGCCATACCAAGAAGCTTCTTTTTGCCCTTCCAAACTATGGAGGAGCAGGCTTATCCCAACTGGAACTGCCCTTTCCCTCTGCTGCCAGTGCAAGAAGTTCTAGACATGGCCTCATGCGCTGACACTTGTGGGGCGGAGTCAGACTCCAGGCTTTGCATCTTCCGGTTGTTCAGGGTCTCTCAGGACCAGCTCTGCAGTCATCTCTCTCTTAGACTGAGCTGAGCACTTTTTATGTCTTCGATGAGTGGAGAGTTATGGGTGTCCACCAATCAAAAAGAAATCTTATTACCAGCATCTTTTTTTAAAAAAGAGAGTAGTACAGGAGACACAAACAAACAAAAAAATAGAACAGTAGCAGCATACCAGTATCACGTACATAAACAAATCAAAGCAAGAACATTCAAAGTGATACAGGGTCTCAAGACAAGATAATACGAATCAACACTGGTTGTTACATTGCATATCGCTATCCTCAACTACATTGCTCAGATTACCAGATGTAAGAATGAAAGATTGCTCAAACCATTAAAGAGAATAAGAAAATAATTTTTCAGTAAAGCATTAGAGATAATGCAGAGTTTCACTAGACAAGATGCTAGTGGTTCACCACTGTACTTCCATTGCATATTGTTACCTTCAAGTCAGTTGCTCAGACCACTAGACACAAGCATGCAAAGTCTATCAGGAGATAAAAAATTGTGAGCATTGACTGTTCATTTCAGTACACCATCAGACAACAGCAATACAGTCATCGCAACTATTCATATATATATTTATGTTTTGCCTTCCTTCTTTCTTTTTTCTTCTTTCCCTCATCCCAGTTGTTCCTTCCTCTGAGCAGTTTCCTTCATTTCCTATCATCTATTCTATGTTTTGAGTTTTACCTAGTCTTTCAGGTTCCTACGCCAAGGAGACCATATGGTGTTTACACATGTGGGTCCGATTTATTTCACTTATGAGTATGGTCTCTAGCTGCATCCATTTACCTACAAAAGCCTCAAGTTTATCTTTTTTAATAGCTGAATAATACTCCATTGTATAAAAATACCACAACCTTTTTATCCATTCCTTAGTGGATGGGCATCTGGGTTGTTTCCAAGATTTAGCTATAACAAATTGTGCTGCTATAAACATGGGTGTACACATATCACTGTGGTATGATGTCTTTAATTCTTCTGGGAAAATGCCCAGAAGGAGGATAGCTGGGTTACATGGGACCTCTAATCCTAGTTTTTGAGGAATCTCTAAATTGATTTCCACAGTGGTTTCACCACCGTATACTTCCACCAGCAGTGGAGTGGGGTTCCTTTCTCCCCACAGCCTCTCCAGCATTTGTTATTGGCTGATTTCTTGATGATAGCCATTGTTTCTATGTGAGACGGAATCTCAGTGTTGTTTTAATTTGCATTTCTTGAATGACTAATGATGTTGAACATTTTTTCATGTATTTATTCACCATTAGTAGCTCTTCCTTAGAGAAGTGTGTATTCATCTCAGATGCCCATTTTTGGATTGGGTCTTTGAATTTGGGAGGCTTAATTTTTTTTTAATTCTTTATATGTCCTAGACAGAAGTCCTATGTCTGAGGGGCAGTTGGCTAAAATTTTTTCCCAATTCATGGGTTTTCTTTTTACTTCATTGGTGATTTCTTTAGATGTGCAAAAACTTTTCAATAAGATGAGATCCCAGTTGTTAATTCTTTGAAGTATTTCCTGTGCAGTTTGGTTTTTTGTTCATGAATTCTCTGTCTACCCCAGTGTAGTCAAGATTTTTACCATTACTGGCATCTTTAACCTGCGAATGGGTGCTTGACCACATTTTCTATAGGTTGGAGAGGCAAAATGGACAGAACCTACCAGAAGAAGAAGCACAGACTCCACATGTGTCCTACATTGGTTGTTCAGCATTTGCTTTAAGTTGTGGGAGGAGCTATGGTGTTTTTGTCCCTGAAAATCCAAGACAATGGGGCACGTCACACTTAAGGTCTTGATAAGTCTATTTCTGGTGAAGTAAAGATCACAAAAGGCTGCACACTGTATGTCCACAGTCCCTTCCCTGAAACTCTTGAAGACTGATCGGTCTCTGAGGCACAGATTCGCATTCAGTAAAACAG